TGTCTGTAGTCCCAGTTACTCAGGAGGCTGAGGCAGGAGAATTGCCTGAACCCAGGAGGTGGAGGTTGCGGTGAGCCGAGATCGCGCCATTGCACTCCAGCCTGGGTAACAAGAGCAAAACTCCATCTCAAAAAAAAAGAAAAATAAGCATTTATCCTACTTTTCCCATTTGACTATATATTAATGTAACCAAATAGTTAAGGGAATGTTCTTCATAGAAGAATCCAATTAGTAAATGCAGAAGCAATGGTAGAATTAGAAAGTAGCCAGAAAATCATCAGCAGATGCAAAAATACTAGATTAAAAAGTTTTGGTTGAGAAGCTGCCTTCTTAGAAAAAAAGTTTTGTGGGATATTTTAAATGGATAGATTAGACAGACAGCCCTGAACCCACTGATCAATTGGAACATCACTAAAAACAGGCCAGCCAAACATTTACCTCTTAATGTGGTATAGAAGGAAGTACACAGCATTACTTGTGCTATACTCTTATGAAATTTGAACCTGAATCTGTTGAAGCCTCTAACCTTAGCTACTAGTTTGTGGGAAATATAGGAAGAAACAAAAACAAATTACATGATACTAGTGGGATATTTTACTGGACAAATTGCCCCTGTTACTTTATTAAATGACATTTTGAAATAGAAGCTTGGTCTGTTACACATTAAAAAGATACTTGAGAGATATAATATTAGATACAGTATGTGGATCTTATTTGGAGACTGAATGTTCAAAAGACATTTTTTAAGGCCATGTGCTGTGGCTCATGCCTGTAATCCCAGCACTTTGGGAGGCTTAGGCAGGCCTTGATCCCAGGAGTTTGAGACCAGCCTGGGTAACATGGTGAAACCCTGTCTCTATTAAAAATACAAAAATTTGGCCAGGTGCAGTGGCTCACACCTGTAATCCCAGCACTTTGGGAGGCCAAGGCAGGCGGATCACAAAGTCAAGATATCAAGATCATTCCTGTCAACATGGTGAAACCCCGTCTCTAAAAAATATAAAAATTAGCTGGGTCTGGTGGTGCGCACCTGCAGTCCCAGCTACCCGGGAGGCTGACGCAGGAAAATTGCTTGAACCCGGGAGGCGGAGGTTGCAGTGAGCCGAGATTGTGCCATTGCATTCCAGCCTGGGCAACAAGAACGAAACTCCGTCCCCAAAAAA